GTGTATGTGTACGTGTTTGTGTAAGAGGGAAAGACAGAGACAAAAAGAGAAAAAGAAAGCAGGCAAGAGTAACCCATGTGTAGTACTGACCTTGGGGCTAGGGTCCTGTTTGACCTTGCCCTTACTGGATGACCTCTCTACTCCTCTTCCTTAACCCATGTCCCTTCCCTTCCCCTTCCCAACTTATAGCAGCCATTACTAGATCTGCTCCAGGAAGCCCTCCAGGTCTGAACAGCTGCTCCTTGTTTATCTGTTTCTGTTGTGTGTTGGGTGTTTTCCATGGGGCATGTAGCCCAATTTCCCATCACACTATGAGCAGCTGGTCTTTCCATTTTTGCCTCAGCCTTTCCTTTTCTCTCAGCTTCACCTACCAGGTCTTACATGTACTCTAGTTCTTACATGTACTCTAGTTTCATCTGGAACACCAGATGGAAGCTAGAATATGTTGAATGAGCATGGTAGGGACCAGGTACTAAGTAGAATGCTTTACCCAGAATTATCTCAAATCAATTCTCCAAAAGTCCTGTGAGGTTACAAGCGAGGAAACTGAAGCCCAGAGTGGCACAGCTAGGAAGGGCCAGAGGTGGGATTCAAACCCCGATCTACCCAAAAACACTCATTTGGTAATGACACTGGCCTTCAGAAGACCCTTTCTACAGCTGCACATCCTTCCTCCTGTAACACTGGATCCACACTCTAAGGGCTTAGAGAAAAAATGAAGGGCAGAGAAATGAATGGGTCTAGAGCCAATTCCTAAAAATGTACTCCCAGGACCAAGACCAAATTCTGTGATGATCTAAACACACAAGAGGATGTACTATTTCCACAGTGTTGATCCTTAATTCATCACCTCCTGCATCAGTGGGGACCAGATATCATCCTGGATCCACTCCATTCTCCCTGCCTCACCATGCTCGCCTTCCGTTGCTTTCACAAACTCACCTCCACTGCTTTCACGAACTCTGTGGCATGAGGTGAATGTCCCACGGGACATACAGTGAAGCAGTCCTCAAGACCACCATGCACTGCTCTCTCAGTGACATGCAAGCCCGAGCCTGGTCTCCCCACCCTGACTTTAGTTGATGAAAGGGCCCCATTTTAGGTTCATATCCTCCTTAGCAGGTAAGCTAACCTGTTTACCCAGATCTGCCTTAGACTAACTGGGAGACTCTGGGCAATCTCTAACCTTTGCAAGTTAACCCACCTCTCGAAAGAAATCAAAGAACATACCCAGGTTAGGGTGCATTAGGGTACATCTGATGAACTGTAGGAATCATACGAAATCATGAATGTTAAGTGTTTAGCACCGCTGATGGTAACTGCTAACAATGGCTATTATTCGCATTCCCTAAAGAGTCCTGTAGAGGATCAAAACATTCATGACTGATATTTGTCTGAAATAAACAATCAGGAAAGGAAACCACTGTAAAAGCACAAGGCCTCCCAAATCCAAACAAATACTTTGTTCTAAACGAGCTTCTCTCCAGTGCCATATGACTTGACACACGCCTACACGTGCATGTGAGTGCAAAGAATTATGGTAAACCTGAACTAGAATTCTTATGGAAAATGTTTATATGAAGGTATCTGCAGGCTGCATCCAGCATCATCAGGACCATTTGAAAGACAAGCGGTCTGAGGCCAAAGTCACTTGACCTAAGATCTCCCCAGGGGCAACTCATAAAAGTCAAGCGAGGAGCCCAACTCCGCGGCAGGGAGCCTGGTCTAAGTGGCAGGTGCCCACTTTCCCTGAACCCCACCCAAGCAGGGGCTTGGCAGAGAGGAAGGAAGCAAGGGCTGACAGCACCATCCAAACAATAGAAGCCACTTGCCTGTCTTTTCATAAACAGACTAAAAGCACAAGACCCTCGGTGTTTAGGCAGCTCCCCCTTGTCCTGGAGACAAGCACACCCTTTGCTGGATGTCCTGAGAAAAACTTTCCACTGTGTTCCCAGTGTTCTGCAGCCAGCAGAGCCCCTCCTGCTTGGGCCCCAGGCTTCTCATCAGCCAGCTCCAGCTAACGTGCACATCCCATAAAAACTCTCTGCTCTGCAATGTGCCAAGCCACAGAATAAGAATTCACCATCAGTGGAGGAGAGGCGGGAAGGGGGTATGCTTCTCCAGTGCAGAGGGCTTCCAGAACATCTGCGACTTGGGCTCAGCGCATCCTGCCAGCTACCCACACCAGAGTACCTTACCCAGGACACTTGACCTTCTGGTGTGTGGTATCCACATGGTACAAGCACCATGAGGGGAGGAGATCCTAAGCTTCAGAGGCACAAGCTCCCCCAACCTGCTCCTCTTGCCGCTATGAGCCCAGCTGACACTTTCTATTATTGGGTCCCCTCTCCTTATATTATGCCCCATTAATGCCCCAAATACGTAGGAACCTCTTACTATCACCAGATACTTGATTTCCTAGTCAACTCCAACCAGACTTAAGGGTACTTAGATGAACAAAACCCACGCCATGTTCAAAATGCCAGTTAAACCCAGGTGTTGTGAATGGTTGTGTTGCAAGTGACTTTATCCCGTCTCCATTTCCCTCCATTTCCTCTTCTGTAAAATGCGGGGGGTGGGGGGATGGTGAGCCTGATGAGTCCTGCCAGCTCCACAATTCGACAACATATAACACTTTCTCCTTTAATTGTTCTCTACAACCTTATTTTAGAGCCCTGTATGGCCCCAGCTGTTCAGTGACATCACTCCCTGTCCCAAACATAATGTCGATTCTTACATGGGAAGCAGAGATGTCCTGGGAAACGCTGTCTACAAAAAGAGAGGAAATGATCATTTCAAGGGAATCAGACAGGACTTCTTTTGTGTTTTTCACATAGAACAAGTTATTATCAATCTGAAAACCCGAACTCTTTCCCTCTTTTTTGCCAGACCATTAATAGCTACTTTTCAAAAGTGCTTTCTTAGTCAGAATCTCACCAATAGTAAGCTATCATTTAGTGAGGGCTTGTTACCTGCCAGGAACTGTGCTAAGTGCTTTTCATGGATGATCTCATTTAATTCTCCAGACCACTCTATGAAATAGTACTATTATTATCCTCACTTTAAAAATGAGGAACGCTGAGTCCCACAGAAGTTAAATAACTTGCCCAAAGTCACATAGCTAGTTAGTGGCTAAGCCAGGCTTTGAACAGGACCCTCCCCCAGCCCCAGCATTAACCACCTTTCACTGCTGTCTGCAGTGGGTACCCAGTTGTTTTAGCAACCTTTCTGGCTTGTTGCCAGTACATTCAACATCTGTAATCTTGTACATCACTGGTCAGAGCTAAGATCAGATGTTTCACATAAAATCGAGAGCAGAGAAAAAGCACCAGCGTGGGTCTCAGAGCAGAGAGTGCCATCTGTTGAATGCAGGGCCTGCCTTAACTGAGGACTAGAAAAGAGAACCCCTAAAACTTAGCCTGCAACGTCTGAAAAAAATGGTTAGGAAGGCCACCTTGATACTAAGTGCTGGGATGTGCAAATGGACATCTGTACCTGGAGCAGGGTGACCACATAGTAACCCAAGTCCTCTAAAAGGAGCTTTCTTGAAATGAAGATGCTTGCTGAGTCAAGCAAGGAACAACTCCTTCCCCCTCCGCCCCATGGGCACCCACCTCTCTGTCTGGTCAGGAACCAGACTCCTTAGTTTACCTCCTCTCCAATCTGAGCCCAGGCCCATTTATTCGATTCTTAAAAAAAAAAAAAAAAAAAAAAAAAAAAAAAAGCCCCAAAGTTCAGAGCTATTGGTGATACAGACAGAAAGAGTAGCCCGAGGCTGACGTTGGCACAAACCTTAGTCCTCTTCCAAGAGAGAAATAAAAGCCATTTCTCAGAGAGCAATGTGCAGTCTAGGGCAGCAACCTACAGCCTGTTTTAATTGTTAAAATTAATGCTTTGAGGATTCTAAATCATCCTTTAAGTGCCTAATTTGCAAATAAGATGCAGCCCTTCTGCTTTGCGTGCCTGGCTGTCTCTTCTTTCTCAAGTACAGAAGCAAAGCGGTTCAGACAGGCGTCCTCAGCCATCAAGGACACCATGTTTACTTCCTAAGGTGCGAAGGATGGCAAGACAGGACCGGCTGAGATGAAAGGGGGATGTGTCACACAGACCCGGGGCTCAGCTCGGCTCAATCAACCTTAGCCCCTTCTCATTAATTGTGGGGAAGGAAGGGGGAGGGGCAGCCGGCCGTTCCTTGGAGACCACAGCAAACATTTGCCTCCTCGTGTCTGGAGACGGAGCATCACTTAAGAGGAAATGAACCCGGTTAAGGGTCACGTCCAGAGAAGGGATAAAAGGAAAAGCCACAATTCTCCTCACACCGACGGACACAATGACTTTAAGAAGGAAATCAAAGCTCAGGGCTGAGGGTGGAGGTGGGGCAGGGGGCGCGGCGGCTTCCCTCTGCCCCCAGACCCAGGCCTAGGGAGGCAGAGACCAGAGCAAACGTGGGAGGACAGCACGAGGCTTCCTTCCCCAGGACAAGCCTCAGAAAGACTCACGGGGCGGCGCGAGCGTGAGCGACCCAAAAGCCCCCAGGGAGGGCCAGGAGATGCTCTTTCCCAACGGAGCTACTCAGCTAGGGCTTGACGAAAGCTCCCCCCACAATCCATCAAAGCTCAGGCGGACAGATGACTTCACCGTTGTAACAGACAAGGGCAGCCACTTGCCAATTCCAATGCCAAAAAAAGAAAACGGGGGGCGGGGGGAGTGGAGAAAGGACAGAGAAGGCTTCCCTGGAGATCACAGCCCTGCGAAGAAACTCCACAGCCGAGGGCTGCCCTGTGGGCACTTAGCTCCGGGACCGAGCGGGTGAGGGCGAGGGGGCCCCCCCGGGGGGGGGTGTCTCCGGCCAACCCCCCGCAGGGGTCGGTAGGGGCAGTACTCACGTAGTGCTTGGAGGGGTTCCTCCGCTTCTCCACATCCACCACCGTGGCGTCCTGCACGCAGTAGGCCAGCATCTTCCCCCCCACAAAGAGAGTGGCGCCCTCCAGCGGCGTCACCTTCTCATCCCGGTCCGGCTCCCGCTTCTTGCCCCGCTTCTCGGGTCCCGGGGCCACCCAACACTCCGGCCCCCGCGTCGCCGCCGGGGCTCCTGGCGCCCACAGGTACGGCCCCGGGACAGGGACGGTCCGGGAGGGCACGCGGGCTCCTTGCGCCCCGGGCGGCTCCCCGTGGGCCTGCCGCGCGCCCCTTCCCTCCCGCGCCGCCGCCGCCGCCGCCGCCGCCGCTCTCCGCCTCGCCCGCCCGCTCTCTCCGCCGTCCGCCGCCCGGTGGGTCCGGCGGGAACTGGCGGAGCGGAGGAGGGGCGGGGGTGTGTCCCGCCGGCGAGGGGACGGGGCGGGGGCCCCGGAGCCTGCTGTCAGCGCGCTGGGGAGGGGCTGGCGGCGCCCCTTCGCCGCGCTCGGGCTCCGGGGGGCTCGGCGCTGGCTGAGGCTGTGGGCGCAGGAGGCGGAGGCAGGGCCGGGCCGGCAGGGAAGGGAAGGGAGGGGAGGGGAGAGAGGGGAAGAGCGCGGGGAGGGGCTCCGGGCCCGGGGGAGGGGCTCGGGGCGACTAGGAGGGGGCTGCAGCCCGGCCCCAGAGGCCTGGGAGCGCCGGCGCGCCCCCACCGAGCCTGAGCGCAGCCAGCGGCCTGACTCGCCACCGGGCTACTTCGCCGGGCGCAGAAACTCGAGGTGTCTTTGGAGGGAGGAGGGGCGGGGGAAGTGAACCCAGCGCGCCCCCATCCTGGCTTTCCGTCTTGGAGCGGATTTGTGCCTTTTTGTCCCCACCTTTACGTCCCCCTCCCACTCATATCCCCAGACCCTTGTAATGAAAAGTAGTTTATTACCCCGCTGTTACTGCCCAGGCTCCCCGAGGAGGGGACCGGAATAGGGAAAGGGCCGGCATTAAATCCTTCAAGCCAGAGCCTCTTTTGATAAATCACCTGACCCCCCCCCCCCCCAACCCTTGCGGGTCACAAAGGGTGAATTCTCCCCGGAAATGTGATCGATCCAATGCCTGAGTTGTCCATCGATCTGGGCCCGCGTAACTAACCCGTGACATCATTTACCAGTGAGCTTACAAAACTGCATAACACCCCGGCCTTAAGCCCGGGGCTCCCCCTGGAATCCTCCCCAGGCGGGCCAGGAGGGAAGGGAGCACACAGGAGGGAAAATGCACCAGATTGGCCCCCCCACCCTTCACCCCTGCTCATCACTGGCCCCTTTCTCACCACTTCTCTGACTTGCGCACTTGTCCATCCGTGGACAGTTTACTCCCCTCCCCCCGTCGATTTCAATATTCTTTTTCATTCTAGTTTCAAATATTTAAAGAGGTGGTGTTTTCACAATTAATTCTATTGTTTCACAAACACAATAAAGCTTTGTGAGCATAGACCAATGTGAAACGTCTGAAATGAGGACCAAGAGTTTTATGACCTTATTGTATTAACAGTTTCTTCCCTGCACTGTCAGAACCCATGCGCCAATCTAAGATTATTCACACATTTGCGTGGTACAGAGTACCCCACATTCCTCCATCCTTCTCGCTGAAGGATGCTAGAACACCAAGGGATGACACTATCTAAATACTTAACCTTGAGCAAATCACTTCATGCAGGTATTAGAATCACCTTAATGTTCTCATTGGTTGAACGTGGGTGCCAAACTAAATGGTCTTTTAAGATTCCTGCCTGCATATACTCCAAACTCTAAGCAGTAGTTACTCCTGTGAACTGTTTTGGGTTCTTTGTTTTTCATAGTTAACTGGTATGGATTTTTGATATTTAAAAAATGAATAATAAATTGACTATGCACCTATTCTATGCTCATTTATAAGACATTAAGAGATGGAAGAGAGTGTGAAAGAATTCAATTAATATCTGTGGAACTGAAAACTGAATCTAATTGAAATATGCTTATCCTTTCCCTCAAAGAGTTGAGAAACAGGGATATCATTAAGCCTGTATATAATAAAATGTACATTAGGACATCAGAAAATGGAGGCGTAGAGCAGTCAAGGGGAGCTTCATGGAGGAAGCTGTCTCTGTGCTGAGCCCTGGAGGATGGGCAGAGTTCGGAACACCACAGAACACCATTGGAACATCATAGCAGAGTTTGGAACACCTCCTCTGAACTCCTCTAGGCCAGCAGCACTTGCCCTGAGCTGTCTTGACATGTGTGTTTGTCCACAATATGCTTTTTTTTTCCCTCTGAAAGCACCCTGTGCACAGAGACTGGCTGTAAGCCATCTTATACTCCTGTGCATTCCTCAGATAGCCAAGCATGGTGCCATGTACATAGTACTAGTCACTGCACAAGAATCTGTGGAGCGAGGGGCGCCTGGGTGGCTCAGTTGGTTAAGCATCCGACTTCGGCTCAGGTCATGATCTTGCAGTTTGTGGGTTCGAGCCCCGCGTCGGGCTTTGTGCTGACAGCTCAGAGCCTGGAGCCTGTTTCGGATTCTGTGTCTCCTCCTCTCTCCCTGCCCCACCCCACCATGCTCATGCTCTGTCTCTGTCTCTCAATAATAAATCATTTTTTTTTAACTCTTAAAAAAGAAAAAAAGAATCTGTGGAATGAATGAGCAGGGGAAGAAGAAAAGATGGAGTGAGGAGAAGTAACATGTGTAACCTGAAGCCTGAACCAGCTGAGACAGGCAGAAGACCAGAAGGACAGTGTCCACCAGGTGCAAGGGTAAGGGAAGGGGGCGAGGCACAGGAGAAGGAGATCGAGAGAAGGATGGGTGTGGGACATCCAGACTGTGACTAGTCTTGACACTAGGCCCAGGGCTTCTGTATCGGAGATGTTGAAAACCTTGTGGATGCTAGAGCAGGTGTCCTAGGAGAAGGTGATCTGGCAGTGATGCTCAGTGATAGGAAAGCCAGGAGGCAAGGTGCCACTGTTCTGAGCAAGACTCGTTCCCCATGGGGATGGAAGGTACACCTGGATAGGCCCTCAGCCCTGAGCTCCCCTCAAAGGAAGGACTGGGATCTGGGAACCCAGGAGGGCCTGTGATGATGAAGCAAGACAGCCTGTGGGTTCACTGTAAAAGGATTCATAATGGCACCCAGCCACGCTTCCTCTGTGGACCTCAAGGCATTCTGGAAGTGCTAATTAAGCCTGAGAAGCCCCTGGTGAGGAGAGCTGGTGTTCAACTGTTGGAGAGAAAGAAGAGAAAGGCAGTTGGCTTGTCCTGGGTCCCCTTTTGAATCAGAGCAGTCAGCTCACCAAAGAGGCACTAATGGCTTCCCACTCACCATCTTTTTTCTGCACTAAGATCCACACTGAACAAAACTCTAAACACAAGGGATCTGGAGGACAGAGGGAAGGCTCCATGCTTCCCCACTGTCCTAATGACTTTGTGTTTGCCTACAAGGCATTGGCCTTTTGCCAGCCTAAGAAACCGGACAACCTGACATTTCTTAAATTCAAGGTCTTTTTTTTTTTTTTTAAACATTTATTTATTTTTGAGACAGAGAGAGACAGAGCATGAACGGGGGAGGGTCAGAGAGAGGGAGACACAGAATCTGAAACAGGCTCCAGGCTCTGAGCTGCCAGCACAGAGCCCGACTTAGGGCTCGAACTCACAGACCGTGAGATCATGACCTGAGCTGAAGTCGGCCACTTAACCGACTGAGCCTCCCAGGCTCCCCTTAAATTCAAGGTCTTTACACACAACGTGAGTACTCCCAACTTCCCCTTGTGCTCCCGAATTACCTCAATTAAAGGGAGCAACTGAGTGGCGGTACCCACCCCAACCCCATGGTACCAAGATCTCTGGGAATTATTAGTTGGGCAGAAGTAAGTTACACCTGCAGGGGGCAGGGGGGAATCTTTTTTCCCTCCTGGGGCTGTATGTTCAAGAGGCTGTGAGTGTAAAATGGTACAACTCTCTTCTTGCCAGGATAATTTCAAACTCACACAGATCTGTTTCCCAACAAAGAAGGAGCCCCAAAATGCTTTAGGCGTTTTTCTTCACGCTTTTACTGAGTGCCTGGAGCTCCCCAGAAATGACTGAGACTGGACAAAGGCCGCTTGGAGAAGGGACTGTGTCCCACCTGTTCAATACCACAGCATGCCTGGCACATAGAAGGTACATTGGCTGGTCTGTGTGGACAGCATCTGCTTGAGGAGCTAGCAGCACTGGAGAAGATTCAGTAAACCCCTATTTTGCCACTTCCATCCATGAACTGGGGATGACTTCAATCCAAGGACATTGTGTGAGTTCACCATAAAATTATAAAAATACCAAATAAAAGTTTAGGATAAGTAAGGATAAAAGAGGACCCAAAATAAAGATGCAAACTGATACCTAAACATCTGATTTTTCAAAAAAACAGATCATTGTAAGTATTTGAGAACAAAGAATCTTCCACTTGGGAGGAATCCAAGAAGCTCCTTATCCCTCTAATTTTACAGAAAAGCAAGCTAAGGCAGAAAAAAACTAAGCAAGTCGCCCCTTGCCACAAAGCTAGGTAGTCCCAGGCCAGCAATCTTTCTCCTCCCCCGCGCCTAGGAGCCTGTTCACAGGCAAGAACAGTTTGTTGAAGGAGCACGCTCAGTGCACTGACAAATCCATGCAGATCCAGAATGGTGTTCTCCCTTAAACCCCGAGTCCCTTATTCCGATGCTCCATTCACACAAGCATCACACTGGCTGCCTCGACCCCCATGGAGGCAGCATGCCGCTCAAGGGCAGGGAACATGTGTGTCTCCCTGGAAATCCCACCCCAGAGCCCACCCTGCTTCCTCTGCCATGTAGTCTTCATGACCACCCCAAGGGAGACAACCACAGGAAGGCACTGAAAACAGTTCAGTGCTAAACAAAGGCCCAGTACCGCTCCCTCTCCTTTTCAGAAAGTTTATGGCAGTTGCTAACCACGCATTTGGTTACTAATCATACATTGCCCTATGACAGCTCCACTGCTACTGTACTGAGCACCGATCAACACCTTTTATTGCTCGTTAATTTAGGCTGTGCTTAGGCTGTGCCTCCCAAACCGGTAAGAAGCCTGTGAGGGTCTGGAGGACTTCTCCAGACTCTGGCACCACCTTTTCCCTCCCTGCCCCCACCATTGCACCCTGGCCACCTGCCATACACACCCCATCCAACGCAAGGCTATGTACATTCCAGGCACTCAAGAAATAGTTGTCTTTTGACATTTCTGAGCTCTTAACAGATAACTGTAGGTGCTGATGATAAAAGTGATGTCTAAGAAGAGCTGAACAGAGTTCTGGAGCAAGGCTTATACAACCTGGTTTCTAGTCCGGCTCAACCACAACCCATCCAGCCTTGTGACACTGACATCACTTCCCACCTCTGGGTCTCTGATGATCTTTCTGGTCCCTTCCATGCCATCTGATGGTGTAAAACTACTACAGTAAAGTGAGGTAGAAGTGGACTCTTACCCAGGGATGTGTAAATTTGAGTGAAATTTGGGGCCCCCTCCTGGCCAAAGTGGTTTTAGCACCTTTAACTCCAGCAGCTGGCCCTAAGGGATCCCTTACAGTCAGTCCTCAGCCGACCTCTGGCCAGGTATGAATGACCTGCCAATATATGGACTATACACATCCAGGGCATTCCTGCTTCTCTATTTCTTTTCTTCCTTCCTTTCTCTCTCTCTCTCTCTCTCTCTCTCTCTCTCTCTCTCTCTCTCTCTTTCAGATCAGCCCTAATAGTCTTATGTTTGGGGAGTATCTTAAGGATGGTCTCTCCTGAATTTGAAGTAGACACTGAGGCCAACTTCTATATTCTCCAGAGAAAGGTAAATTGCTGGCCAGACTTCTCCTTTCCTTGGTTGCTGTGGAATGGGACCGGGATGAGGTGCCAGAATTGCCCTATCAGTTCAGCCCCACTGTTCAATAATAACAGGCCCCTCCTGCTTGCCAAACCAGCAGGTAGGGGAAGCCACCTCTCTCTGTCACCCAACACAGTAAGTATATCAGTGAAATCTCAACAGGCTTATTTACATGGTGTCACTGAGAGTCTCAGTATCCTGTCTTAGCCTTGACTCTGGTGAGGGTTCTTACGCAGCAGAATTTTTTGATAGAACCACTTTCAAGTTCCAAACTTAGCAAATGATCATGCCCCTGGAATACCAGAGGGAAATCCAATAACTTGGATGGCCAAAGTGGACAAGGACATAATTTGATTCACAGAGTGGGGAAAAAGTATTATTCTATAACCCCAGATATCTGGTCCCCAGACCAGGGCATTTTGTTTTAAGAGCCTCAGTTTGAGAGTATGGATGGTTTCATATATCTATCTCAACTAGTGAGCATGCCTTCAAGTGTATTCCTGCCTGGTTGGGGTCACTAGCATCATCTTGTATAAAAGATCAGTCTGCATAGTTCCATTTGACCATAAACCACCAAAGATTTTCTTTTTCAAAATCCCCTGAATTTTCCAGAAGCTGACAAACCCTAAGTTGGCCACTGGATGACCAAAAGAACAGAAAAAAAAAAAGTCACTTGGGAAATTCAAAGGTGGTTTCTTTAAATAGTCCGAAGCCACAAAAAAACAAAAAATAGGAGTCTGGTTTTGGTTTGACCCCCAATTTTTTTTTTCAGTTTTGTATTCAGAAATGTCATAAAATACTGTTCTTCATCCTTTTTGAACTCATATGTCTATTTCAAGTGAAAGATTCAAGACTCAAACTCAGGTCTGGCTCCAGCTTATGTCCTGCCTTCTCTGTCTGAAGCAGAAGATAACCCCATTGTTGATTCATTGCTTACCCAATAGGCTAGAGCAGGCAGAGTAGACTTTATTTAGTAGACTGGATTTTCGCACCTAGGCGAATCTGGCTGGGATTTGGACTGTCAACAAGGTGTTGCCCTAGGCAGATTACTATGATCACTTTGATTAATGTTACTGCCTAATATATGAATAGCACATATCTTAGTTAAGACTCTGGTTTACAAATATTAGAAATTGAACTAGTTCAGCTAAAAAAAGAAAAGGGTTCTTTATTTCCCATATACAGTGGTTGCTCCTATCCATAGACATCAGGGCTTCTCAGAACCAGGAAGTAGCAAATCTTTGAGAACATGCTCATTTTCTCCATCTCTTATCTCTGCTTAGTACTGTGTGTTCTATTTTATTCTTCTCTGTCTGCAGACCATGTTTCTCTGCTTCTTCACCCACATAGCAAGGGCCCCCCAGTGCCCAAGTATCCACCACTCCCTCAATTCCAGACACACCTGAGACTCACTGGCTGCCTCTGGAGTCCAGATCCCAGTTCCCAGGAAAAACAATCTCATTGGCTTAGCTTGAGTCACATGTCCACCACATGTCCACAATTATCATGGGGTGGAGTTATCTATTACAAACATGACTCTGGAGAGCTAACCCACTAAGAAACAAGGCTGATAACGAGTGGCCCATACACCCCAGAATATGCCTACTAAGTTATTGTTTACTTTTAAAGGGACTTCATTTGTTTATTTATTCATTCAATGAATATTTAAGTTACCAACATGTTCCCCCACTCCACTAGGAACTGGGGCTGTGTACACGTGGGGCAAACCAGACCAAAGTCCTTGTCCTCAGAAAATCTTACCACCTTTAGGGAAGATAGACACTGTTTTAAAAATCTTACAGGCGTTTCCTGGGTAGCTTAGTCGGTTAAGCGTCTGACTCTTGATCTCGGCCCAGGTCATGATCTCACGGTTTATGAGATAGAGGCCCACATTGGGCTCCTCGCTGACAGCAGGAGCCTACCTGGGATTGTCTCTCTCCCTCTCTCTCTGCCCCTCCTCTGCTTGCTGTCTCTCTCAAAATGAATAAATGCTTTTTAAAAGCATACAAATAAATGTAAAATTATAATTCTGACAAATGTTATCAAGGTGAGACAAACATACACCAAAGTATGAATGGCGGTAATCTCTGGGGATGGAAATTTAAAGTCTTAAATTTTCAAAATTAATTTATTTAAAAATTTAAAAATTTTATAGCACACACATCCTTCTGTAATAATAATTTTTTAAATTTTTAAAAGGATCACTATCCTGGTGAAGGGCCCAGTAGGTGAAGGGGACAGCTAGAAATTCTGCAGTGGTATACAGGAGGTGACAAGAGCTTGGACTAGGATGATGGTCTTGGGGTGAAGTGAAGGGAACTGGAGGAGACAGAGTGGCCTCTGGTTGGTCAGGGATGAGGGAAGTAGATGTACTAAGGACAGTTGTAGTTTCTTGGCCTGTGGAACTGGGGGGATGGACAGTGGTGCTACTCAGTTTTCTGACTTTCTTCTAGTCTATAATATATGGGGGCTGGTCTAGTCAATATCAATAGTTCCCTTTAGCTATCATCACAATAACCATAGTAATATCAGCAATTGTCTAGTAAGGCCCTACTGTGTGCTGTGCCAGGAATTCTGCTGAGTGAGCACCATACTCACGTATCTATTCCACAAATGGGAATTTAGTCAAAAAGAATAGCCTCCCTCGCGGAATTGAACTAGGTAGAGGAAACAATGGATCAGGCAAGGGAAAACCAAGACTTTGGGGCCCCCTCCAATCTCTATTTTTTTTTAAATGTTCACTTATTTATTTTTTTTATTATTTTTATTTTATTTATTTATTTATTTATTTATTTTTTGAGACAGAGAGAGACAGAGCATGAACGGGGGAGGAGCAGAGAGAGAGAGGGAGACACAGAATCTGAAACAGGCTCCAGGCTCTGAGCTGTCAGCACAGAGCCCGACACGGGGCTCGAACTCACGGACCATGAGATCATGACCTGAGCCGAAGTCGGATGCTTAACCGACTGAGCCACCCAGGCGCCCCAGTTCACTTACTCATTTTTGAGAGACAGCACAAGCTGGGGAGGGGTAGAGAGAGAGAGAGGGAGACACAGAATTCAAACCACTTTCCCAGGCTCTGAGCTGTCAGCACAGAGCCCAACATGGGGCTCGAACTCACGAACTGTGGGAGCATGACCCCAGCCAAAGTCAGATGCTTAACCGACAGAGCCATCCAGGTTCCCCTCAAATCTCTATTTTTTTTTTAATTTTTTTTAACATTTATTTATTTTTGAGACAGAGAGAGACAGAGCATGAACGGGGGAGGGGCAGAGAGAGAGGGAGACACAGAATCGGAAGCAGGCTCCAGGCTCTGAGCCATCAGCCCAGAGCCTGACGCGGGGCTCGAACTCATGGACCGCGAGATCGTGACCTGAGCTGAAGTCGGATGCTCAACCGACTGAGCCACCCAGGCGCCCCCCTATTTTTTTTTTTTTTTAATGTTTGTTCAGCATTTATTTAATGAGGGCAGGGAGAAAGAAATTTTCTACTAAATGTGCACTTCTTTCTCCAC